GGGGCACATGACATTAAATGTTCACTTCCTAGAACTCTACAAAAGCAACTTAGCTACTTTTTCCAGTTAAACAGCTGGACTGGCAGGCTACTTGAAGCTGCACTGGAAACACAGTAGGCTATTTATTACAGCAATCCACAAAAAACGTTAGTTTTCTTTAAGGCCAATATCTTGGCTGTGTTATGTATGTGTGTTTGGTATTTCCCCAACTCTCGATAAAACTTGGAAAGAGCAGAAATGCCTCTTTCTGTACCGCTTCCTTTTCATTTTCACTCTCTGGGTAGACCCATAATATTCAGGGAAGAAAGTACCAAGAACAATAAATCCACATCTCTTTATAAAATATACCTTTGTGAGCCACTCAAGCTGGAAATCATAGGAACCAATAAAAATGCAGGCAGCCTACTGATAATGAGGTCAGAAATACAAATAAATTTACTTTTAATGAAGACTAGAGGCACAGTCATCAAAGTGTTAAAATTCATTTCATGCATATCTCCTTTGCTTCTTCGCTGATATTTACCACGCAACGCTGTGAGAAAGTAGATGCCTAAGATGCTCCAGATAAATGGCTCAATTAATTGTACAGAGGTAGACCTCTTTGAGCCGAGCCAGGGCTGTGAGCTCTTTATTAAAAGCACTATTCTGTAGTCCATAACCTTGTTTCTTGACTCCTCTCTGGTTTCCAATTTAAACAAGTCCCCATGCGGCCTACTCTAAAGGGCTTTGTCTCCCTGTCATTGTTAAGAGAGCTGAGGCATCCTGGAAGTGTGAAATCAGACCTCATGAGTTGAACGGTTCCCCAGGGAACGCTGGACTGCGCAGAAGGTCAAAGTCATGGGCTGAACCATCTAAAAGTGTCTGATCGCCGGTCTGTGACACAGCAAGTTGGGGGTGGGGGGAACGGGGGCTGGTCTGAAGAGGACTGAAATTGAACACATCTTAATTAAAGCCCACAGACAGCAAAACAAAATGTTTTCTAGGCAGCCTGTCAAATGGGGCTTAAATTTAGCTCTACTAATGAATCCGAGCTGCTAAATGTTATTTCTTAAGATAATAAGACTCTCACGGAAGCTGATAAAAAAAAAAACCGAACTGTAGCATGTTTTTTTTTTTCTGCTGTTTTGTTACTTAAATATTTTCCAACAATGAAGACAGTTTTCCAAAAGAAAAAACATGGGAGAATTCTATGCAAATACAGGAATAGTAAACATCTCTCTTAATAACTCATAGGTTCCCAGGCTACAGAGCTGGCGAGACACGAGTCTTTCTGCCTGGGCTGGTTTTAGAAAAAGATATACTCATTTAATGGGACAATTTCAGCGCCAGAGTCTGTTCATTGTAAATTCTGTCTCTTCCTTTTGCTCTCTGGCTCCCTGCTATTGTTTCCGGAAAGAGATGGTGCATTAATTTAAGAGATCAATTTACCTGGGGAGGTGAAGTTTTCTATTAGTGTACGTTTAAATCTGGGGGGCTGCAAACAGGGAAAGGTAGGGGTCTTTTGAAAGGTTTCGCAATCTCCTCTGTCATGGTTGCTGAAAACTGCCGGGCTGGCTGGTCTCCCTCGGGAGGCTACGACCTCTTCCCCAGGAGGAGGGTAGGGGTGCGGGTGGGAGGGAGCAGACAAAAACAAGGAAAATGAAGGGGAGGGGCCCCAGAGAGAAGTCTTCCTTGCTGCGAACTTCAAAGAATCACTAGCCCAAGACTAAATACTGTGCAAAGAAAGCCTCCCTCAGCCAAGAGAACTTGAAATGTTCTGCTGAAAACAGAAATTAGGCTCTGCTCAAGGACAAAGAAAAAAAAAATCATAATGAAAAGCTAGAAAAGACAAAACTATAGCCTGAACTGGCTCCCACCACCACCACCCACCGCCATCCCTGTTTCTCCCTGCCCAGCCTGGCTCAGGGTGTCTGCCATCAGTGAATGCAGGGCCAGTCTCCAGCATGGACTTTTCACGGCTGGAGGACAGGTCGGTAAGTGATAGCCAATGCTGTTTCTTAGTCACTTCAACTTTTTCCTTCCTGAAGAATGGAGTACAGCCCAAGGCTGCAAGACCCCAGGACCACTTTCTCAGGGTGAAATTTCAATCCCCCTCTTGTGCCTTGCTTAATGCTTGTGGATGTGTGGGACGTGTCAAAGGAAGCCTTAACTAGCAGAGTTAATCTCTTTTTAAAATCTGTATTAACCTTAATGATTTGAAGTGCACTGTCCAACACTGGCCTATTGAGACCGCAGAAAAAACTGCCCTCGACTATCAACAGTTTATTAGGGACTTAACTGAAGTGACCCACTGTAGTAGTGTTTAGCTGAACAAAGCTATAGACTTTTTGTGGCCAGGGAAAGAATCGAGGGTTTCATTAAAAAGTAATTTGTGCTTTATACTCACTCATTCAAAGAGAGTCTCAATTGCCCTTTATTCACACAGTATCACAATGTTTCTCAATGAATGTGTTGTCACAAAAGAAAAATTTTCCATTTTGAAAGAGAAAAAAATTCTTGGTCACTGCAGCAAGATGAAGGGCTCCTTAAATGGTTACAGAATCTTTCTATCAGCTCTTACAGATGGACTCTCAGAATTTAAAACATTTCTGCTTCAGCCATGTCAGTGTAGGTTTAGGTTCAGATCACTAACGCGTTTCTAAGTTATGGCCAAGATATGAAAGTCTGTCTTGTTAGACAAGTGATCTAAAGCCGAGTATCTGATAACAATTGCCTCAATTGTACTGGATCAGAAAGTATTCTGGGTTTAGTACAAAGTTACCCAATGATCTTGGGCCTCTCCTCTCCACCCACAACACTTCTAACCACACAATCACATGAATATGTGAGACCACACCACTCAGCGCGCTCCCTCTCCTCAAACGATGACTTACTGAATGCCGGGTGGGCCTTGCCTGTTATCCAGGAAGACGCACATCATGAATCTTCTTTGGACAAGTTAAGAGATAAAGTGCACAGTGAGCTTCTTCGTGGCCTCAAGTTAATGAGAAGGACCACGAAGCATCAGAAGACACATATAAATATATATATAAGATTCACCCTTCCCCCCAGTAAATATCAATGCAAACACTGGTGGTCAGACATTCAGATGTTTCTGGTTGAAATAACTGAGCTCCCCATTTTTGCTGCCACACATATCATCAAGACCACAAGAGATCTGAGAGCGAACAAGGTCCGAGGCTGAGTAATCCTCTTGCCTCTGTATTCAACATCTCTCTTGTTCCATTTAGAATATATTAGATTATCAGGCCAGCATGGAATGTGGAACCATTACATTTATACCATTAAAATTGGATGAAAGAAATTGAAGACTGTTATTTAGTATTCCCCCAAATTAATGTTCTTGCTACCAAATCAGAACTATGCCTCAATGGCTCCCTTGGGGGAGAGGCTTTTGTTATTCATAACAATTTACACAGCAGCATTCAGAAAGAAATATCTATGTTTTCTAGCTTTTAAAGATGAACTCTAACTTTCATGGTGGCTAACAGGCCAACTGGATTCATGGGGTTTGCACACTCATGAAGTTTTAAAAACAACGAGAGTTCTCCAACAGAAGGTGAACATCTATAATTGCACCCAACTTGTTGAATGGGCAGGTGCATAAACTTCAGAAGTGATTGCTACTTGAGTATTTCTGTAAAAAAAAAAATGACTGCTCAGATTAGTTGATTATTACCCATCCTAGTCTTAAAATCTGAAAGGAAAGAAACTCATCATTCACTAAGTGCTTAGTCTGAGGAGTACAGTACAGCAGAATACACAGACAGAACCAAGGTCTGGGCCGCCCCTCACTATCTCCAGGTATACCTATTTTGAAGGACTACTTTAGGTATTTTTTTGTGTTGGCTGATTCATGGATACTTCTCTTGTAAAAGAAATTATAACCACCCAGTGTTATTTTATCACCTGGTAGTCACCTGAGCATGTACAGCATTCAAATTTTAAAACATTGCCACTTTGAAGCAAACATCTGCATTTCAGTTTAGTTTCCTTTACTTTGGTTTTGATTCTGCCTGAGTTCTAGAAGCAAGCACTGATGATGTGGACTCCCAACTTTTGGATGGCAGTAAATTTCTTTTTCTCACATATATCCATGACTTTGTCAGGGCCATCTTGCTAAGCATATGCAACAGTAAACATATTTCCATAAATAAGAAGTGAGTACTTTCATGAACAGTGACATTTGCATAAAAATTGAGCAAGTCAGTCCTATTTATTATCCAATTTGAGAAGGATAATTTAAGGAATGGGATAAATATCCTCCATATTTTATGAGATTAAATAACAAATGAATGATCGTATTGTTGTAAATTCAAAACAGAGATTTAATTCTGGAAATCACTGAAATAATTACCATCAGTCCATTTGTTAATATGTCACAGAAATAGCAATATTCAAATCAGGAAGCTGTAACACACCCAACAATTCTGGCATTTTGACAGGCCTGTTTCCTAGTTCAACAACTTCTGAGCAATCTAGATAACTTAGTTTAGATTCCGAATTCTATCTGATCTATCCTAAAGGACATGGATATTGAAGGAATCGGGTTGGTAATCCAAAGATCAAGAGCTCACAGCAAGATCCTGAATGTCCTAAATCCAAAGTTGTCAGAGAACTGTGCAACATTGTACAATATGCACATTTGATTCACAACAGTTGCTGCTGCAAGGGATGCTGCTCATGTCAGAGAGGGGCTGATTGAGCCAGGCCTCAGTACTGCCTGCGTGGCAGCACTAGCAATACACATTCCTCCTCCACAGATCAAGCTTTGGAGCAGCTACCACTCAAAGTCACTTGGCTGCTTCCTGTTTGCAACACTTGACTGTGTCTTTCAAAAGCAGTAACAATCTTAAAACCCAGGGGTCGGCAAATCTTTGCAAGATCCACCTTAAAACTTCACATGATCCTTCTGTGATGACTCAGCTAGTCAAGTGAAGAGTTACACGGTTGCATGGCCCCGGCAATAGAATTGTACATAGAATTGTAGTGTGTCCTACCTGTGACATCAGCGGCCATCAATCCTTCTGCTCTGATGACTTTTACCTGGAGAAATCCCACATCTTTGATGTTGTGAAATATCCGCAGGGGGCTCTGAAAGATCCCAACAGTGGTATGAGAAGAGAAAGGGCTAAATACATCTCTAAAGCTAGAGCTGAAGAAACACTAAGTGCTATAGTTAATCTCAGGCTGCTGTTTCAGGGGTCCCAAGGCTCACTCGGGTTTTTCTAATGTAAACTCCCCCCACCCCCGCCATCCTGAATGTATGTGCATGAGCATATATGCAGATAAATATTTCTATATAGATTTTCTAACAATAAAAAAAGCTGCACTTACTCCCCATGAATAATCATCAAGAGATGGTAAACAATAAATCCTAGATTTGCTACATCTGCTTCCTTCCTTCATTCTCTACCGAAGCACCCCAAGATATCCTTCATCTCTGGACATCCTGGCTTAGAGACTGATGATTCTTAACCTTGCATCTAATGAGTTGGTGACATAACAATCTTCAGATTTGGCAGTATAAGAACAGTCACCACTTAACCAATTATTTTTTCTTACTATTTTCTTCTTAGCAGGTTTTGGAACTTGGATGTACTAGATGAAAGTCAAATTAATGAACGGATATTTTTCTATGATTTGACTTATGGAGCTCTACAACTTTGTAAAGAAAAGGTTTGTAGAATTTTTGAAAAGAAATCCAAAAGAATGAACAGGTTTTCTGCAATGTTACAGGTTTCCTGCTAGTTCAGTGGTAGAGAAGAACCTCGATGGAAACTTCGGCAAGAGAAACAAATTCAAATGGAAAAGCCTAGTTCTCCACCTTAACAATGACGGTGGGTTCGAAGATGCAGTGCTTGAAGGAATTCAAAGACAGAAAACGCAGTAACTTAAGCCTGCTTCCTGGGTACAAATACTCTGTGAGTGAAAAAAGCTATAAAATACAGATATGCATTAGTCATTTTACACTTCATATATTTTTCAATGGCAAGATCAGCACTTCTACTCGGCAAATTGGAGGTATCTTTTTAAACTCCACAGTGTTTCATGCTGAGGGGGCATACCATAGTGTTGCATTATAAAGTGATGTGGTAGAATGTTAGTGGAGTCCAGAGCTGTCGCATGTTTGCGTGAGAATCCGGGCAAGCCAAAGCTTCCTGTGATAGGAACTTTATCAGTCCCAGCCTAGCAGGCATTGTGTATGCTGCAGCTGCGACCTTGGCTCACACAGGACAGGACATGCAGATATGTGTGTGATCTCACAGGATAACTCTAAAAAATAATGTTTAGCACAAGGATTAACTCTTAATCTTGTATTGTTTTTAAACAGTTGTTTATCGCCAACAATCTGTTTAGAATACCCAGATGACCAGGTTTAGTCAAAAATGCCTGTTGTGTGTCAAGTTCAGCTACCGTAAATGAAGGGTTTACCGGTGGGGGCTCAACACGGTAAAGGCTGCGAATTCAGAGGTCTGTGGGAACGCTGTGTTCCTCCAGTAACCAGCAAGCCGGGGAAGTGTCTCATCCCAGAGCCCACCCAGTGCTATAAGCCTGATGAGTCTCCGGGCTTCGAGGATAGGAAATGGTTCAGTCACAGAGTCCTGGACTTTAATTTTCAGCAGCAATTTAAAGCAAGTTTCATTGTGACTAAAACAAATATCATCAGTTCTCATGCCTGTGAACCATTTCATAGCGGCAACCTCCCTGCCCTGTCGCATTGTCCACCGGGCGCGTTAGCCGAGAGCCTGCGCCTTCCAATTGGAGGGATAATTATTGTTTGAACGTTTTATTCCCCCAAGTCAGCTGACACTCAATCACTGATGGCGAATTTCAATGGCTGAGGCTGCTGACACAGATTATAATAAGAACTCAAAAAAAAAAAGGCAAAGAAATCTCTGCTTCAAAATATAACTTTAAATAACGCTTCCTCCAGAAATATTCCTGCCTTGTTATTTATGGTGATTTTCCAAGGGTCTCTCAACCTGCAGGGTTCTGAAGCCAGAAATTTCCATAGCACAGGAATCTACGATTGCGCTGAATCCTTTCAGCCCTCAATAGATGGGAAAAGATTGAAATGCTCTGGAGAGAAGTCCTCTTTATTTTTTTAATGAAAGGCTGTATAATATATTTTTTCTATGGCTGCAGCAGCTGTCAGAGAGAGAGCACCTTAGTTCAGCTCTATTACGGGAGAGGCAATACCCCATCCTGCGGCATGGAGATGCTCTGAGGGGCCGGCGCTGATTGACAGCTTGTCACCGTGACGTCTTATTCCATCTCTGTTATGGAGAAAATTAATGTCACACCACCAGCCTTATGACTCGCTGTCATCTTAGAGCCGCTCACCTTTTATCAATGTTCTAAATAACATTTCAAGCCCATCGTCTCGTGGTGGACAGTCCGGTCAAGGGACATTAAATCAGATGACTGTGAAATGTCATAATAAAAACGGAATGCTAACAACTTCTTCTCTAAACCAGCTCCTCTGGTTTTTAAACGGTGACAAGGAGGAGCAAGGGTGCAGCACACCCGTTCTGAAAAGGTCACGCCATCCCGCTGGCTCTACCGCCCATTACTACCTGCCCCCTGTTGACCTGCCCTCACCCGCCCACCCCTCCACTGCCCCCCAAAAAAAGAAAAAAAAAGAGAAAAATGGAATGTGCCAGCTTTTCAGAATGGGGTGATGCAATAACAGCTTACAAGGCTGTGTCTGTTGCATTCGTGGGGCCTCCCACACATGGGCACAAGCAGTGGGGAACTGCCATGACCAAATTCCTAGGGGTTGTTTCCTCAGGCTGGGGACAATTCAAGTTCTTTCCTGACCACCGTGGCAGATGACATCCTTCAGCTTCACCTCAACTTTGCTCTTTCAGGAAAACACAGAAGTAATTCTCCAAATTGTCTTGAGGGCGTGGTTCTCCAAAAGCAAGGAACAATTCAGGCTACAAGAAGGGTACCCATTCATCTCACCACACCCACAATGGAGAGAGAGCCCTAGAGACCGAGTCTCGGTCCTGGCAACACTGAAGGACAACACCTGTGCTATGCTGCTGCCTCCAGAAGCTTCTAACATGAACAGAGAAAGACACCAGCCTGACCTGCTTCCCAGGGTGAAAATGAGCAAATTTAGACATTTTCAAATGGACTGAATAGAATACATAATCTGAGAATTACCAGGGGCATCCACAGCCTATGTCACACTTTACTGAAATAACAACTAAAAGAAGGCATGTGAACACCTAGCCAAATTCTGAATGAAAATGGCCACTTGCAGGAAGTTCATTAGAAAAAAAAATTAATAATAGGGGGATGACTTCTAATTACCTAGGCAGCGGGATCATTTTAATACATGGGATGACTTTAGGATGGTAATCCATCATCGCCAGAATTCTAATGCCTTGAGGAACTGTTATGCCTATATACTGATTACAATGTGAAGCGATTTTAAATTCTGAGGTGCACATCTGGTTTGACAGAAGAAGATATTCTGCTGGGTGCCAAAATGTGAAATTGTTTCCACCACTGCAATTATATAGCAGGAGATGTCGCATAATACCTTGCTTTCTTAGGTGCTTTAAAAATATATATACCGTTTAGCCTTGCTAAGTCACCTCTATTAAACTGTTTATGATAACACCATTGGTGGGTGAGTTGTACAAGCATTAGCAGACAGCTGATTCAGGGGAGATAGCCAGAATAAATTTGCTGAAGCGTACATCCTGCTAATCTGTTTGAAGAATATTGTAGGGCATTAGTACCAGCACTTCATGTTATCTGCACAGCCTGATAAGGTACATCTTTATTAAATTCAGTTATTGAAAGGATGTCAGTCAGCAAATAGGAATATTTTAAAATCCTAAAAAGAGAGAGACAGAGAGAGGGAACGTGCGCCATGCTTTGTTAATCAGAGCTTGGTTTCATGGCAGAGAGTCTAGAGGGGCCTTCTAAACACCTGGCAGCATTGTACAATACAAGCTTTGTAATTTTAAGTGGAAAAGCTTTTCTCCCAGCTCCCCGAGTTCTGAGGCATTTTCCTTTTTCACAAGCCCAGTGGGGAGAGAACAGTGGAGTGAGAGCTCCCCTCTCTGTTGGCCGGGGGAACTACAGGCTGGGAAATGTACGGCAGGAAATAGGAGTCAGGCTGTGCTCGCACACCTTGGTCTGGCTGTTTCAGTGACCCGTTATTCTGTCCCATTATCCCTACATTGTATCCAAAGGGGTGAAGCTTTTTTATGACCTTTTTTCACATCCAATTAAAACAAATCAGTGAAGCAAGGATTCTCTGAGCAGTTGAAAACAAAATTCTGTGAACCCCCTGCAGTTGCTAAGCTACTAAATGATGTAAAGCCTGCAAACTCCACTCTGAGCTTGGAGAGGCTGAGTCATCTTCATGGCTAGGCCAGAGTCTGTGAACTGATCTTCATGTTGCCTAAACTTGGCTTGGCTTTGTGGGAAGGCTCCCGTGGGATAACATCAATCAAGAACATCTCAGCTACCCAGACCTCCTTTAGAAAGGATTCGAGAGAGATCAAGCCTCCAGACGTGGGTGAACACACACACACACACACACACACACACACACACACACACACACACACACACACACACACACACACACTCTCTCTCTCTCTCTCTCTCTCTCTCTCTCTCTCTCTCTCTCTCTGTGTGTTTGGCACTCTGCCCTTATTCCTTGCCCCACCAAGCAGCCCCTCAGAAATCCTCCATCTCTCCGAGGGAACTGTTTCCCACCTCATTCAGCCACACACGAAACTGCACAAGCAGGATGGTTGCGTACGTACGTATCGCTTTAAAATCTCCTCCCGTTCCTTCTGGTCCTCCACGGAGTTGATGGAGAGGTCAGAGATACTGACGGTGGCCGAGGCTGTCAGGGTGACCAGCAGCACGAGGTGGCCCTCGCCCTCCTCCAGCTGCAGTTCCAACTTGTGCGTCTGTTCCCTACTGAGGGCCGACAGGTCAACCTGGCACCTAGAAACAGATGTTCTGCATCAGCAAGTGCCTTTCCTTCCTGCCCCGCCACTTCAAATAGCGGCCCAACGGGCTGCGCAGAGCCATATGTGCAGAAAAACACAAAAGCCCCAGTCAATAGAAATGCTGTTTGGAGCATCAGAAGAAGTCTTTTGTATCAGTGACTCTTTTTTCCCCAAACATCAGATCACGATTATTTTGGGACCTGTCATTAATTATTCCCTGTAAGACTGTTAAAAATGATGCTTTTCTGAAATGGGATTAGCACCAGTCACTATGGTTAGATGGTGCTGGGAGCTTCCTATCCCTGTCGGGCCCAGGGGATTAATGGGAAGTTTTGCATATAGAAGGAGTGACCCACAGAGGTGCGAGAGCAGGATCTTAACTTTCATATCACTTTAGAGACAATGGCTGTTTCTCCCCAATTCTTAAATGCTACTAAGCAGCGAATAGGGTACGTACTATGGCGATGCCCATAGCTCTGTGTTGTTAAAACCATGCCAGCTTATTAACATTCCACCATATACATCCAAGCAGAGACATAAAAGCACCCACAAACATTGCAGCTCAAGTGTGACGCATCTGAGACTTGCTGATGGGGGTGTCCTAACCTGGGTGTGCATTTGCTCACAGCCACACTGCCAGGCCTCAACACCTTTTTGCACATGTGTTCATGAAAATGTCAACTGTTAATGTGGGGATCCCAAGACTCAGAAGCCAAGGGGAAGGTGGAAGACACGAGACAAGGGCATCAGAACCAGGAAACAGCCTGCTATAGGAATGAATGCAATACTGTCACACGTGTGGGGTGCTCCATGACGACGGACATTTTAGCTGCCTGCTCCTTACTCCTCCGTCTGTTTACTGTGGACTGTTGACTTTCACGCTGCCTCTCAGTGGGGCTTCAGAGCTTGTGGTTAGGTTCGAACAGCTCTGGAGCGTGATGGAGTCATGAACCCCAACACTGACTTTCTGGTTTGACTATTGGCTGTCATGGGAGATGACTAGAACTAGACACAGATGGGAAGAGATGGGCTATGACTGAGAAAGCAAGAAATGAGAGTCCCCACCTAGACTACTAAGCCTGTCCTCAAGCTAGAAAGTTCCTCGAACAACCTCAGTCTCTACTCCCAAAACATCCATTTCTAAACATTCCCAGGCTGCCTCCTTAAATTCTAAAGGATGGAAAGACCTCATCAAAAGACCTTATCTGAAATTCTTAAACTTCTATTTCTGATCAACATTTTTAAATAGAAACCATTTTAACTTCAAATTGTGCATATTTATAGGTTATGATGTGATGCTTTAATACACATATAATGTCTAATAGCCAATCGGGGTAAATACATCTCAAACGTATAATATTTTATGGTGAAAACATTGAAAATTCTATCTCCTAGTTTTTAACTAGACAAACATACGTCACGTGGGCATATTCACTATAATACTACTACTATAAAAGCATAGAAATTCTCCCTTTTAATATTTTAATGTTCCAATTTTATTCAGAACTGCTTATCAAGAACACCTGTAACAAATCAAGAGTTCAGGGAAAAAAAATGTAACCATTAAAAATCATCACTCATAAGTGTTCTCTATCCGAAAGGAAGAGTATGAATCTGTTTTCTAGGGATCTTCCCAGCATGTGTCTGGCTCATGGTTGGTTGGATGTGAGTGAATCCTTGTTTTGGATTGGGAGCTTGACCCAAGAAAACAAAATAAGGCTTGGGATTCAGACTCCTTGGGGTTGAAAACCATTGGAACTGGGCAGTATCTTGCAATGGCTTTGATGGTGTGTTTTGCTCAGTGCTTGGCCTGTATGCCCTTTTATATGAAACCCCATTCACTCTTGCGATGTTAACAAGCCTCCCTGAAGCTTTCCTTCATTGGGATCACAGACACAGTTAAGTCTGTTGAGTTGGCCAGGGTGCTCTGAGGAGTATCAAGACGGCATCTGAGCCACTGCCGTGCCGTTTTCTCCTTTGAAGGCTGGAAACATTCTGACTTAAAAATTTAAAAAAACAGAGCAATTATTCTCTGAGTTAGTTACCATCCCCTGAACTGAGCATTTGACTTAATTTTTCTACCTGGCTCCATTAGTCACAGGATTTGTGAGCCCTGAAATCTTAATTTACCGTAAAGAATATTGGGCAGTGATGCGACTTACTGGAAACACACAGGTGACCAGCAGCAGAGCCATGGCCTGAACCTGTGACCGCAGAATCCGAGATGGAGCATCTCCCCAGCAGTTACCAACTAGTAACACTGTGCAGTCTCAAGGGGTCCTCAGCTGGGAGAGCCTTGTTTCATTATTTTTAATTTTTTAGAACATGTATTTTCATTTTAAAGGTAGATTTCCACAGAGAGAAGGAGGGACAGAGTGAGAGACTTTCCAATCCCTAATTCATTCCCTAAATGACCCGAACAGCTGTTGCTGAGCCAATCTGAAACCAGAAGCAGGAGAATTCTTCCAGTTACCCACATGGGTGCAGGGGCCCAAAGACTAGAATTTTCTTGTGCTGCTTTTCAGGCACACCAGCAGGAAGTGGAGCAGCCAGTACTTGAACTGGGATCCATATGGGATGCTAACACAGGTTTAATCTACTGGACACCAGTCCCAAGGCCTTGTTTTTAAAGGGACAAATGATGTCCAACTAAGTATTTGTTATTTGACTCTTTCTTAAACTTGCATAAATTAGGAAAAAAGGCTACAAGCTATAGATCTACCAAGAGAATTAAAGGCAAAGCCACTAACCGAACTTTTTAAAATTATGAAATTAATGAAATCTAAATTAATGTCATAAATGTATAGAGAAGAATCTCTTTTCTCTGAAAACTAAGATTTTCAATGTCAGGTGTACTGATACAAAGTGTCAATGTCAGATCCACTCTTGTACTTAAACATACTGAATGAACGAGTATTAGTTGACTTCAAAGGTCTTTTTCTTTGTTGAGGCTACTCAGACCTTGTACTTTCCTAAAAATTCTGCTCAGAAATAAGATGTCAATTTAAGTGAGAGGTTGGCCATCACCAAGCAAAATGCCCTTGTTAACTTGAGGATGAAGTTGACATTATGGCCTCACCGATGGGTTTTGAATCAAATTACTGCTGGAATTAGAATAAAAGGCATTTGCCACCCTCTCATAGTTTTAAAGTATCTACTGTGGGGAGTGGTGCACCGGAGCGGACCCCATGTGTATGATAGGCAGTCGCAAGATGGCGGCTGGCGGAGGGCCAGGAGGTGGGGTTGGTCCCACCAGTAGGCAAACAGGAAGTCACGGGGATAGACTGATGCCTTTGCTGTGATTATGTCATTGCTACCGGCCTATCAGCTAGCGCCAAGTGGACCCATGGGGAGAAGTGATTGGTGGAGAACTGTATACAAGCAGCCAGCTTTCGGCAATAAAGGTTTTTCGGTTGTTGGTTCATTGGTGTGTTGGTGTGTTTGTGTGTTCGTTCATTGTGTGTTCCGGTTGCAGTGGCAGTACCTGTTTCTCCAGACTCTCAAGAGTGTTCGTCATCATTTTAGTGTGGCTGCTGGACGGCGACAATCTACAATGATGTAATCTGTGCAGCCCAGTCTGCTGCAAGCTGGAAACAGCCCTGATAGCTACGGGGCAGGAAGACTCTTCTGAAATCAGACTTTCCTGTGGCAGCATGTTCCCTCAAAGGAAGGACTCACATTGGCATGACTATCAAAACACTAAGTGGTCATTCATTTGGCCCAGTTTGGGAATGCATCAGTCATGTTATTATCAAAGTGCAAAATGGTGCCAATTCAAATGCTCTTGTGCAAACTCATGAACTTTGAAAGTCGGCTCACACATGCACACACAGAGAAAAGGGGCCAACAACAGAAAACCGATTCCCCTGGATCTAGCCCTCTGGTTTTCACTAACTAGCTGTTTGACCTTTCTCAAGACAATGTATTCTCTTGAATTGCAGGTTTTGTGTTGTAATTATGAATTAATTAAAGTAAATGAACTTAACATTTAAAAAATCCGATTCTAAATTTTGGTATAACTGTCCATATTGACAGCTGCTGCATCTTACTTCCTTGACAACTTCATAAACCCCAAAATTAAGGAATCAAAAATATTTTACAGGCAGTGAAATACTATTACTAAATGTATTACCTCAAAAAATATAATAATGTTGGTACAATAAGGGATCTAATTTACTTTCACGTCGTACTGCAAGAAAGTTGTAGATATGTGGACTGGATTAAAAAAACAGGATTTGAGCGCTGACTCTGAGTCGCTCTCTTTACATCTGTTTTATGTTGGGAATTTAAAAAATTTCCTTGATATATCACATGCATCTCTCCAGGCTCCATGGGCTCCTGAGTCCTCAGCTACTTCTTCGGTGGTGCCACTCCAAACAGATATCTTTCATCCTCCCACCATGACCAACTGGCTCGACTTGGGACCACTAGCCAGCTTCTCCTACACATGCCCAGATCACTCTCCTTGACCAGCACTCAGATGTGGACCCCAGATCAGCTGCCACAAACCTGGGGAATCAAGGGCTTCCTGTACTTGAGTGCAGTCACACTACGGGGATGGGATTTGGCTGGCGAAGCAATTGTATGAAACAGTGCAGAATGTGTTTCTAAGATGGACTTTGATTAATGGAGCAGGAGATGGGAAGATCATTTCCCACATTTCTTCCAAATGGCCGATCTAACACATCATTCTCCCTATTTCTGGTCCACCCATAGCAAAGTGTGTGTACCTGCTAGGTAGCCACTGGGTCACTACCACAAAGCAAACAGCAACCAACCCAGCACCCTGTTCCCCTGTATGGCATCTTTGTCTTTTCTGCCTCGTGTTCTTTCATTCTCACTGTCTCGGATTGCACCTCCTTCCCAATAAAGCACAAACATTTCAAGGTTGCCTTAAATTTTAGAGAAGTTGGACCAAGACTTAACAAACAAACTTAAACCAAACTAAAAAACTGCTGTTATTTTTCAACCTTCCCAGTTACAGATGTCCAAAAC